TATGGGAATGTGATTATTGAACGAAATGTTGTTTTCAGTTCCGGTTTACAGACATCTTATACACCGAACAGGAGAGAGGAGTGAGTATTAAATCGACTCCAATAACAGTAGTGATGCAGGACTTGAAGGCCAAGTCATACCTGATGAACATAATGGACACTCCGGGTCACGTGAACTTCTCGGATGAGGTGACGGCTGCCATCAGACTATGCGATGGGATTGTGCTGTTCGTGGACGCAGCGGAAGGCGTTATGTTGAATACGGAACGACTGCTGAGACACGCCGTGCAGGAGAAGCTGGCCATCACTGTCTGCATCAACAAAATCGATCGATTGATACTTGAACTCAAACTTCCGCCAAACGATGCCTACTATAAGATTAAATATATATTGGATGAAATCAATAGTCTTATCGCGTGAGTCACGCACTCATTGTATTTGCTTTCAAATCAAAGTTAATTGAGTTGTGCTTTCAGGACATACTATGACGACGAAGAGCCGCCGCTAATATCGCCACTTATAGGCAATGTTTGTTTCGCGAGCTCTCAATACAGCGTCTGCTTTACCCTCAAGTCTTTCGCTCAACTCTATTGCCAACAATTTGGCGGAGGTTTCAATCCAAACGAATTTGCAAAGCGTTTGTGGGGAGACATGTACTTCAGTCACACCACGTAAGCCATACCACAGCTCTAACCAGACTTTTGTTAGATATGTCATACTTTTCAGACGAAAGTTCAGCCGAAAGCCGGTCACCAGTCAATCGCAGCGTTCGTTCATTGAGTTTATTTTGGAGCCGATCTACAAACTGTTCGCTCAGGTAGTCGGCGACGTCGACTCGACTCTGGCCAACGTTTTGGACGAATTGGGAATCAAACTCTCGAAGTCTGAAATGCGATTAAACATTCGCCCCCTTCTCAGACTCGTTTGCTCGCGATTTTTGGGTGACTTTAACTGTCTTATAGACCTCTGCGTTCAACACATCCCTTCGCCGGTCAAGAACTCGAGTCATAAGATGGAAAACATATGGAAAGGACCGTTAGATTCACCATTAGGTGAAGCTATGATTAGTTGCGATCCTAACGGCCCTCTTATGGTCCACACAACCAAACAGTACTCAACACAAGACGCGTCGACATTCCATGTGTTCGGTCTTGTGTTGAGTGGAACCCTTCACGCGAAACAAGAGGTAAAGATTTTGGGCGAAAACTACTCGTCTCTCGATGAAGAAGATTCACGTATTATGAGTGTCGGCAGACTCTGGATATATGAGGCCCGGTATCACATCGAAGTGAACAGAGTTCCCGCCGGCAATTGGGTTCTCATTGAAGGCATCGATCAGCCCATCACTAAGACCTCAACAATTGTGGACATCAGATATGATGACGAACTCTATATCTTCAGACCTCTTAAGTTCAACACCCAATCAGTTATTAAAATAGCTGTCGAACCGGTCAACCCGTCAGAGTTGCCCAAAATGTTGGAGGGATTGAGAAAATGTAATAAATCTTATCCTTTACTCAACACTAAAGTGGAGGAAAGCGGAGAACATGTTATTCTGGGAACTGGAGAACTGTATTTGGATTGTGTTATGCATGACCTCAGAAAAATGTATTCAGAAATCGGTATGTATTTCGTTTGATTGTAAAACATTGGCAAACATTTATACATTGAATTTGTATTATATTGCGTAAAGACATCAAAGTAGCGGATCCCGTGGTGTCGTTCTGTGAGACAGTCGTCGAGACTTCTTCCCTGAAATGCTTCGCCGAAACCCCAAACAAAAAGTGAGACAATGTTTACGGGTTTAGTGGAAATGAACTAAAATTAATGATTTGAAAACATGAACAGAAATAAGTTAACAATGATTGCGGAACCGTTGGAGAAAGGATTGGCTGAAGACATAGAGAGCGAAGTCGTCCAAATCAATTGGAACCGCAAGAAATTGGGAGCATTTTTCCAAACCAAATACGATTGGGATTTATTGGCCGCGCGCTCTATTTGGGCCTTCGGTCCCGAACAGAGCGGTCCCAACATCTTAGTCGACGACACTCTGCCGTCAGAAGTGGATAAGAATCTGTTGGTTGCCGTCAAAGACTCTATAGTACAGGGCTTTCAATGGGCTTCACGTGAAGGACCCCTCTGTGAGGAACCGATTCGTAACGTTAAGTTCAAGATATTGGATGCCGTCGTGTCGTCGGAACCTGCGGCCAGAGGTGGCGGACAGATAATACCCACCTCTCGACGGGTGGCGTATTCGTCTTTCTTGATGGCAACGCCTCGACTCATGGAACCATACAATTTCGTTGAGGTCTTAGCGCCGGCTGATTGTGTTTCTGCTGTCTATACAGTTCTGGCCAAACGCAGGGGTCATATCACTCAAGATATACCAGTGCCCGGGTCTCCACTCTATACCGTCAAGGCTTTCATTCCAGCCATCGATTCATTTGGATTTGAGACAGACCTGAGAACACACACTCAGGGACAGGCATTCTGTCTATCAGTGTTCCATCACTGGCAGGTAAGTCATGTGTAATACATGTGTCAAACAATTGGTTTAATGATTATATTGTTTATATTTATTCACAGATCGTTCCGGGAGACCCTCTCGACAAAAGTATAGTCATCCGACCCCTTGAACCCCAACCGGCACCTCATTTGGCGCGAGAATTCATGATTAAAACGCGCAGAAGGAAGGGGTTGAGCGAAGACGTCAGCATTAATAAGTTCTTCGACGACCCTATGCTTATTTCATCCGACCCCTTGAACCCCAACCGGCACCTCATTTGGCGCGAGAATTCATGATTAAAACGCGCAGAAGGAAGGGGTTGAGCGAAGACGTCAGCATTAATAAGTTCTTCGACGACCCTATGCTTATCGAGTTGGCTCGACATGAGGTCACCCTCTCCTACCCCTTATAGACCATCGGTTATACAATATTCATATACTGTATACCTGTAATTGATTTGATTCATTATGTCATGAGTTTGTCTTATTCAACAAACTTCACATAATTTGTATTTTATTTTATTTTATAATCATTTCATCAATAAATTTATTTAATTGAAATTTATTTTGCTTTCAAAATGTTTACATTTTTCTATTTGTATAATCTTTAATTATTATCACAAATATGTTTGTGTGAAAAAATTAATCACAGCTTTAATCACAAGAATCCGAAATATGAACACTTATTAGACTTATTATTAAAACTATTTTATTTTTTCTCAAAATATTTAAATCTTAATAAATGTTAGAAAATTACTTTGAAATTCATCTATAATTACGTGGTCTTCGCGTATAGTTATTCTTATTTGTCACAAGAGACGGCCACAATCGTAACCAAACCAACAGTAAGAGTAACCATAGGTTAAGTAGGTAGTCAAATAGTGTTTAGTTTAGTTAAAAGCACAGCAGAAGCATTCACAGCAGCATAAGCAGCAGTATTTAACGCATCGCTTCGTTCTCCTCCTCTTCTAACGCCATGTAATGCAATGACATTATCTTCTCTCTGGTCTTGACATCCATTTTAGGCACAGTTTTCTCTTTCTTTCCCAAATGAATTCGATTCAAATCAATGTTTTTGTTGCGGAAGATATCAAACTCGTCGTTATTATAGATGTTTTTCCTTTCATCGATCACTTGAGGTATGGTTTGAGGTATGGTTTGCGGCAAATCATTATTGTCTGAGTTTCTCGTCTTTTCATTCGTTTTTACTTTCTTTTCGTTAGTCTTTTTTGTTGACACCTTTTGAAGACTTCGGTCTAAAGAAGACAATGGCGGCGGAAGATTGTCCTCATCTTACCGCAAGTTTTGGAAAAGTAACAGGTCTAATATCTTGAGTTCTGTGAACACGTGTTTTGGCCGCGGATTAAGTCCCTAATAAAGAGACTACATAACTTAAACACTGAGCTCAAGCTGCAGATTTTCATTCACTTCATCACTGCTCTCAACTCCGTTCACTTGTCCACCGATTTGACACAAATCTTTGCCTTCATTACTAATGTCACAACTCTTGCCTTCAGTAGAAATACTGCTTTGAATCAAACTTTTCAGATAATCGATACGAGTCTTATCGAGACTTTCAAATTGTGTTAATTCGCTGTTTTTGGAAAGTTCTTCCAAATCTTTTTCGACCGCATATTGAGGGCAGTAATCGTTTATAAAACTAAATCAATGCAATCAATAATTATAAACTAATTATTTTCAATCAATACAAATACAAACTTTTTCTCAAATGAAGCGGACGTCAAAGTTTCAATGAACTGATCCATTAAATCGACTTTTAATTGCTTTTTTGTCCTGAAAATATTTCATTTAAATTGTATGCAATTTTTTAGTCTATTAATGACATACTTTGGATCCATGAGCTTATCGATGAAACAAATTTTAATAATTTCCCTAAACGTAAACATCAGATTAGAGCGCGCTATCAGTAATTGCTTTTCAATTTGTTCTCCTATTCTACAAATATGTAAAAATTACTTTCAAAGCAAAATTCATTGAAATTAACATTTCATACAATTCATTGCCGTTCAACGATTCAAATCTTGTAATCAACTCGTTTTGAAGCAAAGGAAACACTCGGTTATAAAACTCAACAATAGTTTTACCAATGGATACGTTTCTGTAGTGATTAGCGATTTGTGGCACCGATAGTGTCAGAGATCTCATGCAAACGCTTAATTCGGTTATATTAGCTATAATTGACTGCAATTCCGACCATTGAATGAATTTTATTCTATCATTTGTTTCAATTTGATTTTCATCGGTTCCCAGTCTTTGTGACAATGAATGAAATAATTCGTTGAAATGATTGCTACCTTTAAGTAAGTCTTCGGTATATTTGGGCTGACATTTCACTACATTCTCGAGCATTCGAGTCAATAATTGGTGATAATTAGTGTCGGCGTAGAGGACGGACAGGTCTATGATTTTGGGGAAATCTATCAAATAGTTGTCGTAAACCAAAGACCCGAATGTGTTCTCAGAGATATAGTGTTTCTGAAATTAATCAAACAATCATTCAATTAATTTCTTATAACAATATTTTAATCGTTCAATACTTTTGATTCAGTGAATGAACACATTCTTAGGTAGAGCTTGAAAACCAAATTATGAACTCTTTTCAGACATGTCTTCATATCATTGGAAATCAATGAGTTGTATAAGTGATGACTTCGTGGCGCATATCTCAGGTATGACTCCAGACTGTAGACTTCTGACGCAAGCACCTGATTTCAGCTGGTTTTGGAAGTGTTTACCGAATGGTAATTTTTCTGTAAAGATACTCTGCTCCTAATGACATTATAATGACTAACACAACATTAGAGTTGTTTCGTTTAATCATCTCTTGGAAACTGTTGACAACAGACATCCACCTCTGGATGTGGACATTGGATGTCAAGTCGTGTCCATTGAGATGCAGGTCTGCCATAGTCTTCATCGGCGGCGGAATGTATTTCACGAAAACCATTGTATGCGAGAACTTGATGTGCTGTCACACAAACACACCGTTACTTCAGTGTCATGTCATGTCATGTCATGTCATGTCAAACAAGTGGTGCAATGCCTACCAGTGCCGGGTAGTAGCGCTCAATGCCATCCTTGTCCTCAAACCGGATGGTTCTTCTCTCGAGCGGTTCTCCACTGAGTTTCTGTCAAATCATTGAAAACGTGTATCAATTGAATGAATGCATCAAATGGTGTCAAATCATGTCAAATGGTGTCAACCTCTGAGTGTTTGCTTCTGATCTTCGGCCGAACGGAAGTCATATCCGATGTCTTTGAAGTCATGTCCGATGTCTTTGAACTCATCTCTTATGGCATATAATAGGTTTGAATCCAATGTAAAGTTTAAAGTTTTAAAGTGTTTTAAAGTGTGAATCAATGAAAACATATGAATTGAAAACACATGTCATGTCATGTAAACCACTATTTGCTCGTCAAATGCAACAACTAATCAAACGTTTGCTCACATTATCACGTAATCGTTGCTCACAAACATCGTTACCATTAATACCAAAAGTATTGGACCCTATGCTTACAATACAGCCCATTGTGTGCGAATGTGAATGTGTGTTGACTGTAGAGTCGAGTGTTATGTTGTTTATTGACTATAATTGTTATGCTTTCCATAAACAGACTATTGAATGGTATTTAAATCGCAATGAATTGGAAATATAGTTAGAGTTTGAGTTTTGACATTAATTGTCAGATCTATTTGTTATTAGCACTCAATTCAATACAATGTGAACACATGTTTGAGATCAAAGTTTCATATGTTTGAGATAATAGTCATTGACTTGGTTGTGGTGTGACTGATAAGACACGACACGTATGTCTGCCATCAATGATCTCTTCGTAGGCTTTCACTAATTAGTTGTGAGTATTTCACCGATTGTCTCAATTGAGTCCATGTAAGCACCACTTAATGTAATCATTAGTTTATATTACTCTTACCATTAGTGTTACCGTTAGTGTCAATGTTGTCTATTAACTAATAGTAATATACTGTTTGATAATATATACAAATGATTGATTTGAACAAAACACTCGCATTTTGACTCACATTTCATGAAATGTTTTGAATAAATGATGAGAAAGTGTTGAACAGTTTAACAGTTTATATAATAATTAGTATAATATTATTGTATTAATAGTCAAATATCATACGATAGAGTACTGTATATATCGTGCAATTTGTCATACAATACAGGCATAGAAATGTTGGTGAAGTACCGGCAGTTGATTCAGTCGAAGACATCCATATCCCGTAATTTCCTCTTGACTTTGGC